GGAATGAGTAGATCAAAAGGTACTATTATTACAACTAGTATAAGGAAAGTTGGTTAAGATTTATGTAATTGTTCACATGATATATAGACGAGGGTTGTTTTAACAAATAAATTGTGGATCAATAAACTTGCCAAATGTGGAGGTGGAGAATTTAGGATCTAACTTTTGGAGAGGGATTTGTAATTTTTGAGATATATTGTAGAAGAATCTAGGGTGAAGGCTTTCGAGATGTCAAAAATTGAAAGACTTATTGATATACTTGGCTAAAACATACTTAGAAATGAGCTCCCCAAACCAGTTAAAAGTTATGTTAATTTGAATAATGATTGGAACTCTTCTAATTTAGAGTGTTTACAGTTCTAGTCTTGGCAATATTCTTGAAAAAATAGTGTTCCCAGTTCTAGCCAATTCTAGTGAGAATGACATTCATGTTTGTCATAGAGCAATTGATAAATAATTTTCAACTACATATGTTATACTTAGCATACTTGCTAAAAATATACAGGTGCATGACACCCATATGCTAGTAGGATGGACATATGCTTTAGAGTTTGTAGTGGCAATGGCTAGCTCATAATGATGAGAAACACTGTTTTGAGGTGTTTTATGTGAGGTGAGAGAATGCTCACGAGGGTGAGAAACTATATATTTTAGGTGTATTTCGTGATGAATTTAGAACACCCTTCTCAACCTTAAGTTTGAGATATTTATAGAGGCATATATGTCTGAATTTAGGGAATTCTAAGAAGCAGTAATTGCTCCACCTTAACTAGGGGACATGTTAATTGCCTACTTCTTCGAGAATTATGGTAATTAATTCTTATACCCACGGCTATGGACTATCTACACATCACCATACATGTTTTCCTTCAAGGCGAGTCTCCTACGGACTAGAGATCATGCTTAAGTGGCATATTCTAGAGCGCGCACCCGATGAGGGTTGCTCCTATATCGCCTTATTGTGGGTCTTTACGAATATATCACTAGAGATTTCCTCAAGCATGAGACTTGCAAAAGGCGGAGTGAGTTGGCTCCCCCTCCACGTGATTTTAAGCCCTTAATTCCCATTAGGGACTTTAAGATCATATGTTGTCATCTGGGCATCCTCCCCACTGTCAGGATATTCCTTTCTTTTTATGGGATAGAGATTCCCCCATCCGTGGTTGGGTAACTCTACACTCTTTACCTGGTAGGAGTTTGCTGGAACCCTATAAGGATTGCAAAGATAAGTTCATGTGGGTCAGAAGGCGAGACAACGCTTCTATAGTGACCATATAGGCGGAAAGTGCCTCTCGCTTTCCTCTGTCGTGGACAATGAATCCTCAACTCATCAAGAGAATAGACTTCAACAATCTTTCTCCCCTTGAGCGAGAGGTTATCCAGGTGTTAGTTGCTTCCAACTTATAAAATCTCATACTAATCACCCTAGAATGAAAAGATGACAATGAGGGTATAAAATTACCTTGGTAAGCTTTATGGTATGAAAGAAACCTTCTTACTTATTCTATTCCTTATTGATTTAGACATTTTGAAATATTTGTTTTGCAAGGGATGCGTATAGAATCTCTCTCAGTGAGAAGAGAGAGTGCTGGTTCAGGTGCAAGTCGAACAAAGGCCCACATCCGTCTCTCTGGATTACCCTAGAGATTTGTTGGTGGCTGGAAGAAAAAGGTAGGTGAGACGTCTCGTGATGACGATGCTCGCCCTCCAAAGATCCAAAGGTCGGAGGAGGGTCCTTCGGGACCTTCAGAAGACCACCACACGGACGTCGAAGGAGGAAAGATAAGTGGGGAGCATGTTCTGACGACTGGAGCTCCTCAATCCTTATTGTGGAGTGACCCTTCTTTTAACGTGGTAGATTTCACTGAGTGTTTCCTCTCTTTTCTAGAGAATTTTCCTGACGACTATTGGTCACTTCACAATAATTCTCATTTCTATTTGACGAGACTTTTAGGGGTTCAAATATTGTGATGTCTCTTGATGGATAGAGTCCAACGGAAAACATCTCCAAACGAATAACAATGTGTAGTCTAGGGTGGACTTTTTCATAGGGTGCATTTAAGAGCATCAGAAGACAATGACAATCATGAAAAATGAACGATATAATTTGAAAGCTCTCATCAAGAAGGTGGCTTCAAAAGCACAAACCTACGTTAAGGAGGGAGAACGTTTAAAGGGATCGTTAGAAAAACCCTCAATTCCATAAAAGATCTTTACGAATGTGTCACTATACTTAATGAAATAAAAGGTGAAATAATCAAGATATTCAAATGTTTATAGAAGTATTTGGGTCTGACGACACTAATATTTTTTTATGGTAGGTGACTCGAGATGACTTTTTTCTTACTAATGATCAACAAGCTTGTAGAGGCATGACAATTGTCTGGAGGTTTATAATAAGGAATGCTATTCTTAAAATGTTTTTGTTGCATGGGGTATCATGTGAAGAACTACGAATAATAGAGCTTAAGACTCGGCCGGCTAGAAATAAAGAAAAATGTTTGACAACGTTTGTATTTTGAGGCAAGAAGTGGTTTCTTGTGCTCAGTTTGAATTGCAAGGTCTTTAATATATTTTGAAATCTCAAATATTATTGTCTCATAATTAGGGGTGACAAAACGGGTTGGGCCCGTCGAGTTGACCCGTTTGATCCGCCATTTTTGACAGGCTGGGATGAGATTTTCAGCTCGGTACCTTAAGTTAGCCCGCCCCGCCTAACCCACTTAAAAAAGCGGGCCGAGGTGGGGCGGGTTTTTCCCGCGGGCTTTTTGTTAAAACTTTTACTCTTTTTTATTAAGAATTAAAACAACTTTAACTATAAAAACAACACTTATCTCTTAGAATTGTATTATAAATTATTATACAAACAAATTGAATTATAATTGTAACGTTCTTTCTATAACTTTCTAATACATGCGTTGATTGAAAATGATTGAAATAAAAGAACAAATGTATGACATGCATAACTATTAAGTTTTCAATATATTTGCTCAAATGTTTTCTTTAGAAATAGATGTTGATTTTAAGAAAATGAAGAATTTGATTAGTGTATATGTGTGACAAATTTAGAATTTAACTATTAAAAGAATCAGTCAACATAAGAGTCTATATAATATAAACACTGAGAAAGTTTGGTGTTGACATTTTATGCATTACTATTTTATGCACTGTGATGTTTTATGCAATATTATTGTTATCATTGTTGGTTTTGTGTAAATTCTAAATTGAGTTCTTTTAGTAGTTAGTTTTTAAATAATATTATGATGATATGTATTGTTTATTTATTTTAATTTTTTTTTATTGTGCTTGAGTTTATTTTGTTTTTTGTTGTAATTGGTCTTTATTTATTAAAATTTTTGAATTGTTTGGACTTAAGATATTTTGAAGTTTTATTATGCGTTGTTAAAAAAAAAATTTATCGACTTCTTTGGTAATAATTAAAAAATTTCTAAATTATATATTAAATCAAATTGTAAAATAAAAAAAATAAAAAAATTGCTGGCCGGCCCACCATACGCCAACTCGTTAGTAAACAGAGCGAGCTTGACTTTTGAGCGCGGACCGCTAAGTTAATCTGCCCCATCCCGCTCCACTTTTGGACGGGCTTAAACGAGGCGAGCCTAAATGGGACGGGTCGCCCGCTTTGCCACCCCTACTCACAATAGTCTTGATTCTCTCACAACTCATCATTTTGAATAGGCCAAGTGGTCTTATGTAGGGGTGACAAACGGGCATGCCCGCCCCGTCAAAACCCACAAAAAAACAGGGTGGGGCGGGACGGACATAGTTGAGGATGAAGGTTTAAAATCTAGGTCTGCCCCACAAAAAAGTGAGTGCAGGGCAGGGAAAGGCCGCGGGCACTGCACCTTTTAGGTCTAAAAACACAAAATTTTATGCTAATAATCATGCCCGCAAAAGCCCGCGAAGAAAACGAGGCGAGACAGAGCAGTTATATTAAAGGATGAGGGCCTAAATTCTTGACCCGCCCCCACACTGAAGTGCGGGTAAAAAAGACATGCCCAACGAACCAGATCCATTTGCCACCCCTAGTCTTATGACCTTTTTCTTAATTATTGACTTTGAGTCTTTAACGATATTAACAAATGAAAAAAAAATAGTTATAATTTTATAGGTTCTTATTATTTTTTTAATAAAAATATAATAAATATATTTAAATATCGTTTAAAGAGTGAAAACAAAAAAAAAACATGTGTAATAGAAAATTATATAATTATATGTTTTTATTAAAAAATAATAAAAATCATATCTAAATAATTATATCTAAATTTTTTCCTTAACTACTCTTAAAATTTTATAATTTTTCAGTTTCTTTAATCCTCCTTATTCACAAAAAATAAATATTTATCATGATATTTGTGTTTTAAGTTTCGGTCTAAAAAAAGTTAATAGAAAAATTAAATACGTTTCTCTTTATTTTGATATTTAGAAGTAATATTAAATTTTCTTAATCTAAATCAATACAATTTTTTTAACCAATGTCTGGCACAATGTAATATTTAAAATTTTGCCATTAAAACTATTTATTAAGTAGAGAAAGATTTGAATAAATACGGATCTATATCTTATATTTTTTTTAAATAACTAATAAGAATAAAGAAAATTTTATTTTATTTCATTAAAATTATGAGATGATTTATGATAATAAAATATAAAGAATATTTTATTTATATATTTTAATTAATAAAATTATAGTGATTGATTGTTTGTAAAATTAAGTGTTATATTAGTGTCTATCTAAGCTTTTTCTTAAATAAACTATTCTAAATCTATTATAAATTATAAATATTTTTTATTAATACATTTTTTATAGAAGAAATAATAAGGATATAAAAAGAATTGTAAAGTAAGAAAAAACATGTGGCCTAGAAATTGGGCTGGGTTAATGAGGGTTTAAGGCACCGCTTCCATATAGAAAATCACAAATTGCTAGGGTTTTACATCTGCCAAAAACCGTAAACGCAAAGTAGAAGAAGATTGCAATGGATTCCTTCTCCGCTCCGCCGAGTCGTCCCTCCTCTCAACTATCCCCTCAGGATCTTAAAGATCAGTTGAAAAGCCAACTTGCCATGGAGTATGCTCAACAATTTCTTGAGGTATTCCATTCTCTACTTTAACAGAGTTTCCATGAAAATCTTGGATCCACTTTTTATCTTTTAAGGACAACCCTACCTTGCATTTGCAACTGATTGATAATTGTGAATGGATGCAATTGTATTTTTGACCTGGCTCTAGAGATTGATGTCTGTTCTTTCATTTTGCCATTCATGTGTTTTTTGAACATAAATTATTCCTGATTAGGTACAGTTCAGTGACAATATGGTTTGGTTTCAGTTTCAATTTCAGTTCGGTTTCAGTTTCCGTTTGGTTCTATGACTATTAGTGCAATATGGTTTGGTACTAACCAAACATAACGGTTTGGTTATTTTAACTTCAGCTTAGTTCGGTTCGGCTCTATTACTATTTGTGCAATATCATTTTGTACTAATCAGACATAATGGTTCGGTTATTTTAACTTCAGACTTCAGCTCGGTTCGGTTCAGTTCATGTTTTTTTTGAACAATCCTATTCTTGATGATAATAAGCACATGATATATATTGCTTTCAAATATGAAAAGGCCTCTAAGTGCAATTGCTTTAGAGGTTTGCTACATTCACTTATACCTATAATTTCTTTCTTAAAATAGTCGCAGTTCTTTCTACATGCCTTTGGTGTGGTGTGGTACTGGGGGTGAGACCTGATCAATATCATAGGATTGAGTAATGAATATGTTTGGCCTGTTTTCCTTTCTGCAATTGCATTTACATTCCAATTGTCATATTTTTTTGCAGACTGTGAGAGGAAAGTGTTTTGAGAAGTGTATCACGAAACCAAGTTCGAGCCTCAGTGGGGGTGAAAGCAGTTGCATCTCTAGGTGTGTAGACCGATATATTGAGGCCACGGGCATAATTAGCAAAGCATTATTTAGTGGTCAACAATGAAGTGGACAACCTGGTAAATCATGAAAGTTGCTCAAGTTTTGGGAAACACTTAATGATGTTTTAGATTTAGTGTTCTTCTAGAAACAACTATGCATTTTATTTCATCTGCCCGTGATATTTACGGTTATTTTCAACTCTTGCTTAATACTTGTACTTTAATATAACTATTTTAAGTTTATGAGTTGATGCCCTGTTTGTTAAGGGAATAAACAAGAATGGTCATTCATCATTTACTTTAGACCGGCCTTTTAAATTTAATCATTTTTCAAGTACTGTCTTCATTGATAGAAGATAATCGAGATGTTTTAAGTTCTAGAGGAAGCTTAGGGTGCTCGGCAAAAAAATGTTGCACTTATGTAACAGAGGTTACAGTATTTCACTATAAACAGGTTACAGTATTTCACTATAAACTTATTCGATTGCGATTTACTACAGTCATTATATTGACTATGTCACTGTCAAATAAATCATAGCCATCTGATCAAATTAAAAGTTTAGATTCATCTTCTCTAACATGTAGATCCATTTCTACATAAAGTGCCGTTTACATAACCCATGTCAAGTATGTAACATCACCTCAGCTAGTGCGTTTGTGTATTTTTGTTTCCATGTGCTTCAAGAAAAGTTTTAAATAATCATTTGAATGACTTAGCTGTTTCTTCATACAAAAGAGATCATGGTGCCCGGATTGGTGCAATCGGTTGTATCCATGGAAAGCACCTCACTAACATTTTGAGGATTTCTTTTCCACCCTATAAGGAAAAGAAATATCTTATGCAATATTAAAAATGTCATCGGAAAATCGGAAATACATTTCCAGTACACATTTTTTTATAGTTAAATTTCAATTAATTCCAGAAATGTATCTCCGGAAGCACTTCACACATACATTTCATTCATTTTTGAGCAACGTTTCAATTTTACGCCTTAATTTATTTTGGAAATGCATTTTGTTTTAATCTTGTTACTATATGCGTTTAAATCTTGTTACTGATACTTCTACTATATGCGTTTTAATCTTGTTACTGATACTTCTACTATATGCGTTTTGTTTTAATCTTGTTAGAAAAAAATGAAAAATAACTTCTACTTCAACCATTTTTACATGCTTTTTGTACCATTGTCTCGTTTACAAACTGGGATAGCACTAAGTAACCATGTGGTGAATCAAGGCTTAGTGAGTGAAAATAAAAAATGAATCAATATCTTAAAGCTACAGCAGGTTCAACGTGGCAAGACCTTAAATCTTGATGCATATTACAGAACCATCTGGATAAGCAACAAGAGCCCCAAACATGTGGACAACAACTCCAGAAGTTTATGGCAATTAAACACAATCAAACCTTCTGAGTATACTCGCCATAAGATCAACAAGTAATTTAATGTGCGCCTGGCAGGGAACAATGTGTTGCATCACATGTTTTTAGTTTCTTTTCTTGGCATTTGCCTTCTTGGTACTTGTTTTCTTTTTGGATTTCTTGGTACTTTTTTTTCAATGTCTTGAGAAGAAAGACAAGAGATTAAAACGAATCACATGTAGTGGAAGTAACAATAGGTACTGGAAGTGTATTTATGAAATAAATTTTGTCGTAAAATGAAGTGAATTTAAAATCGAATGAATTATATGTGTGTGGTTGTATATTGAAAATATATTTTTGATTTTTAATATGGGTGTTCGCGGTTCGGTTTTGATTATTTTTAAGACAAATTATTTGATTCAAAGATAAATTTATTTGCGGTTCGGTTCGATTTAAGATGATATATTAAAAAAATCCAATCCAATCTGATCCAATTTCATGCAATTTAATTTGAATCGATTTTTAGATATTCAAATTACACATTATATTTTTATTAATACTTTAAAGCTACTAATATATCATAGATTTGATATAATATATAATATATAGTATATTAAAAGTTAATATTATAAAATAAAAATAATTGATTATGATTAAAATAATAAAAATAAATAAATTATATTAAATTAATAAATATTATTAAAAAAATTATTATCATTGAATAATTAATTCATGTAATATATCATATTAATAAAAAGTAAATAAGTATAAAAATATATGTATGCAGTTCAGTTTAGTTTGGATCGGTTTGAAAAATTAACCTGAAATCTGATTCGAACCAATTGATTTTTACAAAATGATATCTAAACACATTTAATAAATTTTGATTTTTTGCGGTTTCTAATTTTTTGATCGATTTTTAATTTTTAATTTAGATTGGTTTGAATTTAAACATATTAGTTATATATATATATTAGAATAGGTGCATTTGTCCAACTGTATGCTTGTAATTGGTTTTTTGTTAGGCTGTTGCTATTGGTTGAGTTAGTTGTGAAAGTTGTTACATTGGCCCACTTGTAAACAGTAGTATAAAAGTTCTTATCCTCTACTGTAAAAAAAATTATCAAGTTTTTGAAATATTACAGAAACTGCACAAAGTGCAGATTATTGAATGCAGAGCATTCTTTATCATTTTATCATGGTATCATCGTGATCGATCCATCCACCTTCCATTCGTCTCTCTTCTCTTCCCGGTGGTTTCTCTCTGGTTTCCGCGGTAACTCTGCTTCTTGTTCTTCATCCTCATCTCTGCAATCATGGCTACCGATAATCAAGAAGTACAGTCCTCATTCACTCCCTTCTCCACTGACAACAATGGATTTGGACCTCGTCTCTCCATCAAGCTCCAAGAGAACAATTTTCTCCTTTGGAATCAACAGGTTGAAGGAATCATCCTTTCTCACAAACTTCACAAATTTGTCGTGAATCCGCAGATTCCCCCAATCTTTGATTCAGAAGAAAATCGTATAGCGAACAAGGTTCCTGCTGTGTACGAATCTTGGATTGTGCAAGATCAAGCACTATTCTCATGGCTTCTCTCGACAATTTCAGAGTCTGTTCTTCCAAGAGTCCTTTCCTGCAAACACTCGTATCAGATTTGGGATCAAATCCACAAGAATTTCAATGTTGTGATGAAAGCTAGGGTTCACCAGCTACGATCTGAGTTGAAAACCACCAAGAAAGGGAATAGGTCTATTTCTGAATATGTGCTGCGAATTAGGGCTATCGCTGATGCACTGCTTGCTATTGGTGATCCCGTCTCAGACAGAGATCAAATTGATGCCATCCTACAGGGGCTTCCGGAGGAGTACAGTCCATTTGTCATGATGACTTATGGCAAAGGTGAACTATCCTCCATTTATGATGTTGAAGCTCTCTTGTATGTCCAGGAAGCACAACTTAACAAGTATCGTCAAGAACTTGCGCTTACCACGGCCACTGCAAATCTTGCATACACTGAAGATCAGGCAAATTCCAAGTCCACCAGAGGTGGCTTTCAGCAGTCAAGGGTGCGTGGCTCTGGCTCCAGGGGTCGTGGTCGCACCAGGGCACGCAGTGCTTAGACTCAAGGAAATCGTCCTACGTGCCAACTCTGTGGAAAATATGGCCATGCTGTTATCAATTGCTGGCACAGGTATGATGAAAACTTTGAACCTGTGGCGCCTAAGGCTAATCAGCAGCCAACATACTCAAAAGATCAATAGAAGAATGAAGCCTCCAGTTCTGCACAAGCCTCTTCATTCCTAGCACATCAAGAAGATTTCAGCCTTCCAGGAAATCTTGAATCACAGGCTTGGTTCGCGGACTCAGGTGCATCCCATCATATCACCTCTAGAAACTATCATAGTAAACATACAAAACCATATCGTGGCAATAATGAAGTCATTATAGGAAATGGTAAAGGTCTGAAAATTGAATCTGTGTAGGGTTAGCTCATATTAAGCCTAACAATACTTTCAGTTATCTGCTGAGTCTGAATGATATGCTTCATGTTCCTAGCATAACTCAAAATCTGTTATTTGTTTCCAAATTTGCTAAAGACAACAAGGTCTTCTTTGAGTTCCATTCTAACAGCTGTTTTGTCAAATCTCAGGCATCTAAGGAAGTGCTCTTAGAAGGCTACCTTGATGCTGGAGGATTATACTACTTTCCCAATCTCACCTTGAAGGCTTTTGTGTTACCTACAACAAATTCATCTTGTATCTCATCTGATAAGGTTTTAAATACTTTAGATTTAATTTCCAATAAGTTTTCTCTATGGCATTATAGGCTAGGCCATGCTAATTCTGTAGCTATTAAAACTGTTCTCAACATGTGTAATATCCCTTTGAGCAATAAAGATAATGCTGAATTTTGTAATTCATGTTGTGTAGGTAAGTCTCATAGAATATTTGCTCCTTTAACTTCTACTGTGTATACTTCCCCTTTTGAATTAATTCACACTGATTTGTGGGGACCATCACCAAACCCCTCTAGCCAAGGCTTTTCTTACTACATAGCATTTGTAGATGTGTACACTAAGTATACTTGGGTCTACTTTCTCAAACATAAGTCAGATGCCCTTAATAGTTTCAAACACTTCCTTGCCTTTATTAAAACACAGTTTCATACCACTATTAAGGCTCTTCAGTCTGACTTTGGTGGTGAGTACAGGCCCTTTACTAACCTTCTGAATGATCTTGGCATTGTTCATAGACTAACTTGCCCACATACTTCTCATCAAAATGGTACAGTTGAAAGGAAACATAGAAACATAGTAGAAATGGGACTAACTTTACTTGCTCATGCTAATCTGTCCATAGAATATTGGGATCATGCCTTTACAACAGCTGTCTATCTGATTAATAGACTCCCCACTCCAACACTTCCTAAAACTGTCTCCCCTTTTCAGGCTCTGTTTAACAAAATGCCTGACTATTCCACTCTTAGAGTCTTTGGTTGCTCCTGTTTTCCTCATTTAAGACCCTACAATCAAAATAAACTTAAGTTAAGAAGCTCTGAGTGTGTGTATCTAGGAATTTCTCCACATCATAAGGGATATAATGCCTTAGAAAAGAAGGCAAGATTTATATTTCCAAGGATGTCATTTTCAATGAAAAAGCCTTTCCTTTCCCAACATTCAATGACCAACTTCAATCTGTT